CAGCACTAGTCTGTTTCTAATCAGGTCATACAGGAGGCAGCACAGATTAACACAGGCAGGGTGCCATGTGAGTACAGTGACAGATGTGGTCTATCAGGATTACAGCTGATTGAACTGTTTATGCTCGATTATGAAAACTGTTGTACATGTGGAAAACTTTTTATTTCAAAGTGGCTTTATAGCATCTGACAGAATTCGGCTCTTCACCCCTGAGTGACTGCTCCAGTTCCTGGCCCCCATTTCAAGGGGCCATTTCAGAAAAATACAATTGCAAAACAGATAAAACAAAAAAATTGGACAGTGCTTAATGTGTTAGAAGCCAGAGGCAATCCTGGAACAACTTATTCAATTTCACACTTGCCAGAGTTGTGTAGTGAGACCTATGTCTTGCATAAAATGGTTTGGCAACTGCTTCTGATAGAAAAGAAAAATGTAATTTTGCACATTTTTTTGTTCTTGGAAACTACATTTTCTCAGCGTAAGCAGGGAGATCGTAGGGGCTTCCTGTCAGGAGCTATCCAAACTCCCACCCTCGGCTCTTCTGCTTCACCTCTGTCGTGTCCAGAATACCCCACAGGGCATGAGGCCTGATCCCAATCTGGCTTCTGGCTAAAAATTCTAAAGGCTGCAAAACTATACCAGATCATGGGATTATGCTCAATACCCACAGTAATTTCCAGCTGGGATCTTAGGCCGACTACAAACTCAAACCCTGCTGGTGAAATGCTGCAAGATGAATCCTTCACAAGTTCTGGGACTGCAGTTTGAGTTCATAAGGGGCCATGTGATGAACAACCCAAAAAGAACCACATAAAACATCAGCGCTGGAATCCGACACCTCTTGATCAAAAAGACAAAATAACCTGAAAACGCTTCCTCTTGTTTTTTCTGAAACAGGGCTAATTATCTGGCTCTCTCTGGTCATCTAGAGCTGTAGGATCTTCTTGTTTTCACTTTTCCTGACCTCTGAATAGCTTAATTCTGTCAATTATTGACTTCAGTGGTAGTAATTACAAGGGTTTCCACATTTTATCCACGGTGAGGACAGCCAGTCATGAGATTGACCACAGACTGATTTTACTGCCGTGGACTATTCTGACAACCAGTTGCAATTGCCCATCCTATTCATCATTAAATTGAAAAATAAAAGAGCAATACATTTACAGGATAAACACTTCGAGTCCGAGAGCCTTGTTATAGCAGGAAGCATAAACAAACAGGATTTGCCGTCTCAGAAACCATCATTTGGTGCCTTGAGTACTTATCCACAGACAATTGCAAACACAACGCAGATGTCTTGATGTCTAGCACCCCTGTGACTGCTGGGAGTTATTTCTTAATTAATTCCAACTGGTCCAAGTTTTTTTTTTAAATACTCTAAAACCGCAGATAATGCTCTCCTCCTGGAAACCAATCTACATTATGTGAAAGGTTCTTCAGACATTCATGTTCGAGGCTTATCAGATTTCTCCTTGATGAATTTCTTATCAGGCCAAATTATTTTGCAGAAAAAGCAAACATAGTCGAGTTTCAAAAAGAGCAGAGCAGTCTGGGAATGAAGCAATAACAGAGAGATGAGTTTCTAAGAGCAAAATACTAAATTGCAGGACAGATCTGCATAGGGGTTTTTCTTGATGTTAAATGGAACTCTGAAACTTATTTTAAAATTGGAATAAAAATAATTAAGTTCTCGTGCTGCTAGTTTACACATTTACAGAGGAGATAAACAAAATTCCAGCTCCACAGTTCAATTTAGTGCCATTGTGGGAAAAGCCTGGTGCCATGAAGAAAGGAGGTAAATTTAATTATGCCGCTATAATGTGCAATGCATGACTGTTTATTATTGGAAACAGCTGAGAAGGCTGCTTAAATGTTGATACAGTGCACAAAACATATGGAGTTCATTGCTTCAAGGGGTGGAGGATAACAGTGGGGACTCTGGGAATTTTCTCCTGGGAGGTGATATCGAGGTGAAACTCGAGCAACATGACTCTGTGCACGTTCTTTGCCCAGAGGAAAGTGAAATATCTCCACTGACCATGGGCTATGGAATGCAAAATGGCTGCAAAGGTACAAGGGTTTTTTTGGGGGGGTGGGAGGTGTGGAGGCAATCCGCCAATGTCAGAGGGGTGAATCATCCGGTATAAACTCCAGCAAGTAGTTTACAGAAAAAGAGAATAGTCCCCGTACAAACAGAATCACAATGAAGGAAGTTAAGAGAAGTTGAATTAAGGTGCTCGTGCATGTTGCCTTTTGTGCAGTAGGTGGGGATGGGAGCTTTCACTGCTGATACACAAATAAATGCAAGATTCATTTTTTCGAGCACTTAAGTGACTGCAAAAGATCACAAGAGCACAAGACTGGGAGGAAACTAGCCTGCAGCTGTCAGGGTGAGAAGGTCAGTGCCAGAGCGCACTCAGACAGACAAGCGTTTTTCTGCCACGTGAAAGTCCTGGAGTTGAGTTCACTTCGGCGGCTGTGCTGTGACGTGTGACGTGTTAGGCGCTCCTTCCTGAGACGACAGCTCGACAAATGATGTTCTTCCGCCTTGCTGGTGAGAAGAGAATGTGGGTTTGCAGCTTCATACCCTCGCCAAGTTCTGAGCTCTTCAAACCAGGTCGGTTCTTTTGTCCCTTTTCCTGCCACACCTGCAACTGTGATCTTGATTGAAGTTATAGATCAACTCACTTCTCCTAAAATGGCCTGGATGTCTGGAGCTGTTCTGCAGGAGTTGCTTTTATTCTTACTTTCCTTCCAAATCTATAGCCTGTAATTTGTGTCTGTACTGGCAGCAGGATCTGAGGCTACTCCCATTTTAACAGTATCCTGCTGAAATAAGCCATAAAGACCTTCTCTAAATGCTGGTTTTATTGCATTTCAATTTATCTGCTCTGTTGCCCCATACTGATCTTTCAATTACCCAAACTAATGAAGCATCATATCAGTAGTTTGCATCATGCCTGCACTGAATACTAAAGAGACTGATGTGACATCGACCTCTTGCTCGTGTGGGAAAAGTGCCCATCCCCAGAGGTCTTTGACACTTTGCCTGAATGATTGTAACCACAGTGGACTTGGGAGAAACAAATTCCAGTGGAACACCGACTGGGAGACCATAATGATGCAAATGGAATTTCAGCCTGTATTTTTTTTATTTAAAGAATTTCTTGGAGAGTATTCCAGCTAAGTAAAGAGTTGAATTTGTGAGGCCCTGGATAATCAAGCAGTTGAGTAATGATTGTAGAGTCCCCCACAGGGGCGTGGTTTGCTCAGACTTTAAATACTTAAGCCTAGTATAAGGTATTTATTGTTTCATAATGTTTTAAATACCCAAAAAGCTGTACAGTGTATTCCCAGCTTTTATTTGTTTTATCAGATAAACCTCTGTAATACTATTCGTCTATGAATAAAACCTTAAAATGCTGCAATTGCAGCTAATTCTAGTGCCCCTTATGTGTTCGCTCAGCTGTTTTTCTTCATTAATGATGTCATCCTAACTTTACCACCCGGCACACCCCATTAACCTGTTGATTTACATGGGAAGAAAATGTTAGAAGACTGGGAAATACGAAAAGAACTCCGAGCCTCTATTTGCTAAATAAGAGTGTTGGTCTGGAGTACCAGTGGTCAGTCTGGGGTGTCTGTCCCCCACACAAAGAAATGGGCAAAATGTTAACCAAGGGAAGGAACAAGCAAGACAGAGAGAGAGAAAAGAAGCTTTCGTCTGCGGACAAAGAGCCTTCAGATAAATCCGGGGGAAGAGGGGGAGAAACTGAGTCCGGTCAGGGAACATCCTGCCGAAGACAAAGCAGTGAGAAAAACAGACTATCACTAGAGGGAGGGCAGAGAAGGGAGGATAAAGATACTGACTGCTGTTTATAGAAAACAACGTTCTAATAGAAACCCAGACTGATAACTACCATTTCCACGTTCACGTTACTTACAGTATGGTTATAAAACTCAAGATGAATTGTCGGGTACCAGCCTAAACTTCCTTGGTATAAGAAGAACATTATTCTTTTTATTCTGTAAAGATTGCTGCATGTTTCGGGTTTATAAATTAGTAAGCGAACGGTTAAAAAATACACACTTCACACTTCAAAGTCTGCAGTTTTACTAATTAATAATATTACTGCTTTTAATCTATCACAAAATACCTTAAAGCAAAAATAAGGGCAATTTAGAAAGTCAAGAAGCAACAGCACTTCACTATTGGAGTTTTAAAGTTAGTCTTTCAAACACTTTAGATGGAATGTTTCACACAGAATAATGGTTAAGCGAGCAAACAGGGAAACACTGTATTTATTTAAATTAATGCCAAATAATTAATCAAAGCTTTGCCTGAGGGTGGTTCCGCTGTATTTTTTAATCTTGAGCCTCCTCTTGTGAAAGGTCTGTATTTCCTGAGCTCTAGCCTGCTTTCTTAAAAGAATACTTAAACTGATTCCATGAAACAAACAAATTTTCCTAATTGAAAACTGCTGTTCGAGTCAGTGGAACATTATGAGCATTTTAATGTGGAGTGTCCTAAAATCTGTCAGTGTAATCAGCACCCGGAGCATCTTAAGATGGATAGCTGTTATCTGAGAAGATGTGAAAACCTCTTTTGTCCTGCTAAAGCAAACACACAGAAGTAAAAACAGCTGGACATTGTCACATGATACAACCAAACTGCAGATGGGGAGGCAGGAAGGTGGTTGTGATGGGGTCAAAGGTTGCCAGGTCATCACAGGTCATTGAGAGTCACGGTCATGACATCGGCTATCAGGCTGTTAAACTGTATTGGCCTTTTGAACAGGGGACAGACAGAAATGAAAGCATGGATCAGGGAGCTGTAGTGACTCTGGGGAGAGGTGACCCTGTGGAGTCGTTGTGGAAGGGGAGGGTTGTGTGTTGAAGGACTGTAATGCATGGAGTGTGGGAGGGTGGCTCATTCTTGGAGGAAACATACGTCCACATTCCTGGAGAAAACTTATTTTTTCAGAAATGTAAAGAATAGATCAAAATCAATCAGCCAATTTTAATTTTTTAAAGTAAAATAATTAGCCAGCAGAACATCTTTTAGAAGGCTCGGTATGGAAGTTTAACTCCATGGGTGTTATTAACCATGCACAAAGAGCAGAGAGGAGCACTTTCATAGAAAACCACATCTAAGGGCTTTCATCCACTGCAACAGTGAAGCTAATGCATACATTATAGTCTTTCAATCACTTCTTCACAGAGACGGAGCCTGCAGTTTCAACCCAGAACGTCTCCTCACAGTGACAGAACCGTGGAATTCTTAGCATGTAGCTGAGCACATGATGCCTTCCAGTGAGGAATTTCCCAGGAGTCGCCACTCTTGATGGTCAGAATGTTGTCCTGGGATGTGCGTCGTTTCACATGGAATACTAGGCAAGTTCCTTGAGAAACAAGGAACAAAAACGTCTGTGATTCATTTTGTTCTTCAATGCTTTGACAGCAGTATTGCCCCTATAATAAATAATAATAACTACATACACTATTACAATTATTGTAATAACTGCATACAATTAACATACAATAATAACTAAGTAGCCGTAGGCTACTTGAGCTGGAAAATGGTGAGAATTCTGACCCCATTCCATATACATAAGGTGATACAGGCATAAAACACTACGAGAAAGCTGGAAATTACTTAAGGAGACCATAGAGCTCCAATCCAATTATGCTGGTCATATATCATTCTCTTATTTTCAGACAACATGGAGAGCATAGCTCATTTGTGCTGTAATGCTTGCTTCACAACTGTAATACATTGCAAGTGAGGACAATTACTATATGTAAGTAGAAGATGTAATAATGATATTTAATACACTGTTTCGCCACTGAAATAAAGCTAAAGCAGAGTAGTGTCAAGGGCTGGCCCCTAAAAAGCACAATACAGCATCATCAATAAAGAAGCAAATGTATGATCGTCAGTAAATAAAATTCATTCACTGGGACAACTGCATGTCTGACATTCTCTACGTTACAACAAGCAAAGTAGACCCTTGCATTGCTTCCAAATATCCCATAAAAACATTGTTGGGCACAGCATAAATTTGTTAATTCCTCAACAAACAGGCTAAAAGGGTATTAAACAGCTATTTAGGATTTGGGGGGTTTAAGGATATTTTAAGAATTTTATCCCAATGGCAACATGTGCCATTTGTTTGGACCATAGAGCAGCTGCCTTTGGTTAAACAAGCCTGTGTGAGTTTTGTTGAAGCTGCTCCTGTTCGGTTCCTGACAGGTTAGGCACTGGTTGAAATAATTAGCTGCACATCTGCCACAGCACACAGATGGACCTGTGAGTGATTGGCATGTTCTGATCACAAAAACAGACACATGCCCATCTTCTCTAATCAATCACAAGCTCTACTGTCACAGCGAAAGCCACGGCAAAAACTGTAACATACAGAATATACCCACACACTGCGATCTGTCCTGCTGAGGTCTGAGGAAGTGGATCTTTTGAAAAACATGCATCTCCGATCCTGCATCATGACAGTTCGTTAACAGATCAAACATTAGCAGGAAGCAAAGCAAAACACATAAGCAACTGCACTGCAATAAAAGTCTCTCCATGAGCCAGCAAGCATCTGGGGTCGATGCTTATTAGTGCAATAGGTATTGCCTGTGACATACATACAAGTTAATTTGATAGTTAATTTGGGGATGAATAAAGCTTAATATGGCTTTATAATGTGTTTTTCACAGATTATCCTGGAAGTGTATGACTGTGTAGCATGCCACAGGATGCCACAGGTTGGCTGGGAGGCACTGGTTGTGGAATGGGGCAAACAAAACACTGAAATAATCAAATCCCAGTCTGATTATATTTTAAATAGAGGGGAGCTATCGAAAGGGATTGCAGAAACACTTCAGCATGGAAGCTACAGATTCATGTATAAACCTTTTATAACCCATGTGGCATTACACAGGGGCCTGTCCAGTGTGGAGGCGGAGCTCTGGATGAAGGGCCACGCAGGGCCTCAGTCGTCCCAGGTGTTCTGGCTGCTTGAAGATGTGCCACAGCTGTGAGGGCTCTTTAAAAGCCCACTGGACAGCCCCGGAAGGGGACAAGCAGGGCCACCCCCGGAAGGGGAGGATCTTTTCACTGGCATATTGTACCCACGTAGGGGTGTCGTTATTTTCCTTGTTCTTTTCTGCCTGTCCTGTCATGTGTCTCTACCGGGGCAGGCTGACCTTTTCCACACATTTAGTTCTTATCTTGTTTTTGCTCCCTGCTCTTCCAGACCGGACCCCGTTAAATGGGGTAAGCTCCTTCAAGGTTAATGGCCATTTTCTAAGCACTTTCAAAATGTGATATTTGCCTCCGAAACTAGAGTACTACTGGGATTTCTTGAAAAGGGCACCTCCAGCCAGAAAAGTTTGAGAATCATTTTTCTCTCCAGTGTATTCCATGAATAATGGGGTATTCATGTTTCATCTGTAATTTCTGTTTCTGTACGGTCTATTTAAAATGCACGGAAAGACATAGCAATAAAATGAAAAATGATCTAATTCAATAAATTATTATTCTCGGTGCGCAGTTTGTCTGTCAGAAATCGAAAGTCATTTTGTGCGCCTCTGCTGAAAAGCACAGGGGTGACTGCAGAATTCTTCCTGTTGAGATCTGATGAACTGGAATTCAAAGGATCGTTCAGGGAATTCCTAACAATATTCCAAAAATAAGAAGCATGAAGAAGAAGGATCAGAATTTGGAAGAAAGTTCTGAAGAAAACATTCGGTGAGGAAGGACAGAAACCAATGATGTGTTACAGTAGTTTGTCCATTTATGTGCAAATGTAACTCAGGAGGAGTGTCACATGAAGGACAGGTACTTATTACCACTCATCAGTAATAAATAATACACATCCTCATGTAATTTATGTTTTACTAATTAGGCATTTTATTAGGCACTTACTTGCACTCAACAGGATACACTTCAGTAATAAAGCAATAAAACATTCCTTATAGGTGTATCCTAGCCTAAAGAACAGTCTTATATCTCAGAGATTATACAGAGAGTCTGACTGGCCTGATAGTGCTGACAGATAATTTTGATTGTTCACCTAAGTGTGAAGAAGGGTTCTCACTTCCATGAACACTGTGACAAATCTTATACATTCAATGAACCACATTCATTTTCATTTGTAACCAAATTACCTTGTAACATAGGACAGGAAAGAGAAGCATGAAAAAAAGCTCATTGTTCACACAACTATCCTGGATTAAAACATTTCTCACCTCATGATAAGTTTATGATAAAATTGGAAAATGTGTTCAAAAAGGAAACTGCATGTACATACAGTATGCATATAAGATACCAGCTGGATGCCGTATTGCTCTTATTTTCCCAGTGATTGTGGTTTTACCGGCTGAGAAACTGAATGAACTCCAAAGAACACGTGACCTTGATGAGAAGCAGGGTACGGTGGAAAAGCAAGAAAAGACTGCCCTTGTCTGCTGTCCACCATCATGATGTCAATGGAGATAGCACCACATAACTGAACAAGGCCTCACAAAAAATTGAAACCTCAAAAAGCCACTTCCACAGTACTGTACTTATCAGCCAATGAACAGGAGAGAGAACTGTTCCCATCCTAGCCTTGAGCCCCCATTCGTAATGTTCATTGACTTGAACACACTGTTAGCACCTCATAAACTGCACGGGCAAGTGGGCTGGTGGCCTTAAATCTTAAGATTTATGTGGCAGCCAATTGTCTTATGTTAGTGTTATGTTAGTCTTAAAAATAAACATGCAGCAAAAAGAAAGAAAAGCAAAGCAGAGCAGAAAAGCTCTTCAATGCAAGCAGTGCATAGCAATATCTAGCACTCACAGTGAACTTCTTTTTTAATCGAGAATCCAGTCTTTTGTTTCCTGGAACTCCAAATGGAAGTCCTTTCTGATACTGCTACCAAACATAATTGCACAATTTCAAATGTTACGAACAATTACAAAAAGCAAGGTCCCTTTTCCTCATTGCAAAATCTTCAGGTTCCGGGGTCATGTGCTAGGAGCCTTTTCTTTCTTGGGTTTTAAGCCGGGCCTCTGGGCCTCTTCCTAAGTGTGAAGACCACCAGAACGAAAAGGCAAGCTGAGGATTGGCAATTTCAGGACTGTCTAGTGTGTATGTGACTGCGCAACTGTGTTTTCTCTAATTGTAATTCTGGCAGAGACATGGAGGTCGCAAGCAGCGTGCAGACTACAGTAGGTGATGTCACCCATAATGAAATTAAATGTAGGCTGAAAACTAGACCTCTGCAAATGCCTCACAAGTTTTCCTAATAATGGCACTTGCGATACGAGTGGTTGACTATACTGTAAATGCAAACAGACTGTTAGTGACCAAACAACTAAGGCCAGAAAGGTCAGCTGCAGCCTGATCCAAGAATTATATTGAAATCTAGACTACCAGAATGCATGTGGAAGGATATTGCAGCTTGAAGCACAGACAATCCTAGTAACCTGTTTGCCTTGACCATCTAAACTATGCAGTATTTACAAAAGCAAAACCAAAAAAGGATGTCAGTAGCAATGGCCTTCACTTCTGTCGTCCAATCTGCATTATCTTCTCCCTATTACACACAAGCTATTTTCCACTCCAGTGAGATAAAGCCACTCTATTTCATTTCCAGGTGCCAGAGGTAATGCAGCCATGACTTCTGTGTTTCCGAGGTGTGCCAAACTCACAGCAAAAACAATGCAACTACAGTATGAGGGAAGCATTCAGTTTGTCTAGCCCCTTCTCTAGGTACGTAGGAGCTAATTGATCTCAACCAGTTGTTCCCTGAAAGAAGCCAGGGTCTCATCTTCAACAGCATGGCTGGGGAGCTTGTACCATCATCCTTTGAGTAAAGAAAGGGACAAAAACAATTCTGGAGCATTCAGGTTTGCCTTAAAACATCTCTGTTAGTGTATCAACTTTAAAGGTTCAAAAGCAGACATCGGGCTCTGTGTGGTGAAACACCTTATATAACTGACATCAGAAGATTAAAGCAAGTCTGACACACAAAGATGACATGCAAAAAACAAGCTCAAAAGATTTTCTCTGCTTTATAACCCACAGGACCTAAAAAACAATGATGCTGTTTATGAAAAATCAATTAGATATTCAAAAGTTACAGGGAATTTCTGTTCTGTGGTTATATATTGTTTTAATCTTGAGAATTTTCAATACTATATTTCTTGCATTTTCACGAGAAATTTGATAGCTCAGTTGTTTTGCCTCCAGAATTTCCCAGAGATGTGGGTTTAGGTGGGTAGCACCAGAACACAAAACAGAATGCAACACCAATTAATCCATTTTGAAACAGGTATTTATTTAAATCAGCACTGCTCCAGTCTATTTTTTTATTATGGGCTTGAATTAGCGTTTATCTTATAAAATGCATG